GGCCATGCTCAGCTCCTGTCCAGACTGCGGCAGGCCAGGGAGCGGGCTGCAGACAGGACAGACCTTTGCCGCCGCATCCCAGGCTGCGAGCACGTGGCGTGCCCCTTCATCTGCTGAAGACTTGAGGAAGTAACAACTGTGAGGCCCCATTTTATAAAGGGGGAACCCGAGGCATGCAGCTGTGAAGGGCTTGGAGCCACTGGAAGCTGCCTACGAGGGGGCGAGGCTCCTGTAGGAGCTGACTGGACAGGCCAGAGCCTGGACAGCTGCAGCAGGCAGGATGTTAAGGAGGTGAGAGGCTGGGCCCAGCGGGGGGCCCATCAGAGGCAGGGGGAGCAGCCAAGCCCCTGGACAGGGGGGCCGGGCCGCCCCCCTTATGCCACAGTGACAGTGGCCCCGCTCCCCAGCTCACCTCCTGGGCAGCTACGGCTCCCTCTTGTGCCGCTTCTGGCTGCTCACAGCTGAAGAGCAGCGCCCCCGCCTCATGCAAGACCCGGCCCACGCAGCCACCCGCCTGGCCGGCGCCCCCCGGGCCTAGGCCCGCACCTCCGTGTGGTCGCTGTAGATGTAGTAGAGCACGTGGGTGAAGATGTCGGGGGAGATGCCGTGCAGGGTGATGGCCGGGAGGCCCCCCGCGGCCTCTAGCTCCTCGTTCTCACAGAAGTGGTCATCCAGCAGGGCCCGGAAGTAGTCGCTGCGTCCACAGAAGAAGGCCTGGGGGAGGCTGGATTCAGGAAGGACCAGGCCAGGGCTGTGCCCGGATGAGCTGGCCCAGGGCCTAAGGTGGGAGCGGGCCGGGGGGACGGGGACGGCACCTTGTGGCAGAGGAAGCTGCAGTCGTTCACCCGGAAGCAGACGTCAGGACAGCTGTTGAAGCCATCAGGACAAGGGAAGGGCAGCTCCCCGAGATCGCCCTGGAGCCGGAAGAGGACGCGCCATCAGAGCAGGCCAAGGAAGAGTGATGGGCTCCACCAGGACCCTGTTCTGCTTTGATTCCCAGAGGACGAGCGAGGCCCCGTTTGCAGATATAAACACAGAAGCAGTAAACGTCAACACTCAAGCTCAGCAAAAAGGACAGGCTCAAGGTCACCCAGGAGCTGAGCCCGGGGTGCAGGCCCCGCCACCACGGCCTAGCCCGCAGGCCCACGCGGGCCCCCTGCCTTGGGCCCGGGCTGCGCTGCTTACGCGGAGCTGAGGGGGCAGGGCGCAGTCGGCCAGCAGGGCCAGGTCCTCCCGGAGCCGGGGGTCCAGGGGCGGGGGCTCGATGGTCAGCACCTTCACGCACGTGCCTGGCTTGGATGCCACTGCGGAGGGAAGAGACTCCTTCAGGAAGCCAGTCACCCCCAGTTCCCGCCTGAGGCCCTGGACCCCGAAACCTGGACACACCGAACTCAGACACCTTCTCGCACTTGGCTTCCAGGTCACCGAGGAGGTCCCACAGCTGGCACTGCTTGGCCAGGCGCTCGCAGTCACTGACGTGCTCCACACCCACGTCCAGGCGGCCTGAGTGTGGCGGGAAGCTCAGGGCCTAGGTGCGCTGGGCTGTCCCCGGGCGCAGCGTCAGCACGGTCCCTCCCGCCGGCCACTAGGCTGGGGCCTGGCCCCTCCCGCAGCCTTAGGCCCGGGCCCGGCACGCCCAGGCCTACTTGCAGCCTGGTTTCCCCATCAAGAGCTGACACCCAAGGTCTGCAGGCCCAGGAGCGAGCAGAGGGCCTCGTCTCTGGTGGAGCACGCTGATCCTGAGCAGGTCCACCAGCCTCGTTATAACCCCCCGGGGGGCGGCTGGATGCACCCCACGCTGCAGTCCCGAGGCAGCCCAAGGCGACAGTCAACCCGCGGCCACACCTGGGTGTGCTGCCAGACAGAAGCACACCCCCTCCCGGGGCCCGCCCCGGTCCTGGGGTCACCTGTGTACAGGTACTGTAGAAGGGCCCCAAAAGCCACAGGGTTGATCTGTGGGCAGAGACAGAGAGGTTAGTGGCAGCTGCCAGCACACCCCCGCTGCTGTCCCTGGGCAGCCTGCTGACCCTCCCGCTCCCAGGGCCGCACCAATGGGTGCCTGAGGACCACAACGCTCTTGCCCTTCCATTTGGTGTCCAGCATGTTGGCGAAGTAGGTGCTGCGCGCGCCCAGGACACAGCGATGTGCCCGGAAGGGCTTCCCGTGTACCACGAAGACCACGTCGCTGTGGATGCCCTGCTCCAGGAGCCTGGAGGGGCAGAGGGGGTGCGCAGCTTCAGCCCCATTCTGTCCCACAGGAGAGTCCACCACCCCGCGAGGCCACGTGCACGGGCCACCCTGCACCCCTTCTCACCGCTGCAGGAAGTCGTCATAGTAATCCCGCCTCCGGCACGAGGCTGTCACCTGCTTGTAATCGCGCAGGGCCCGGCGGATGCCGTCGCTCAGTGCCCCGTAGAGGCAGCGCTCACCATCAAAGGTATTGGCCTCACAGCGGGCTCCTGGGGGCGGCAAGGCTCCCCGGTCAGCAGGGTCCTGGGGCTGCTTGCTGCAGCTGGGGAGGGGCCGCAGGGAAATTCTAATCTCCTTCACTCTCCTCCCCTCTTCCCACAAGCTGTAAGCCCCGGAGACCCCTCCCCAAATTACTCGGGGCCCCACTGGCCCCCACACTTCCCTGCCCGGGCCCAGAGACACAAGCGCATTCGTGTGCACTCACACACATCTCCATGCATGGACACAGACCACACTAAGCTGAAAGCAGGCTCGCAGCTCAGCCTGTCTGTTATCAGGGGCAACACGCAGAGACCCATGACGTGAAGGAGCTGGCCATGCAAAGACCTGGGTAGGGTGGCCTAAGGAGGGCAGTGAGTGCAAAAGTCCTGAGGCAGGGGCAGTCCCGGTGCCGGAGCTCCGGAGACACCTGAGCTCCATCCCTAGTGCGGCCAGAAAGTCACTGGCGCGTCGCCGGGCTGCAGTACCGCGAACGGACTGTAGGTGGGGAAAGGGGCAGCAGGGAGACCAGAGGCAGCTGGTGAGGGTCCAGGCAGAGGGGCTGCGGTGAGCCGGTGGCAGCGGTGAAGGTGGGAGGTGGTCAGATAGGAAGGCTGATGACTACTCGCGGGTGGGACGCAGGGAGCAGGGAAAGTGGCCACGGCCACGGCCACGTCTCAGAGGTGCACGCGCCTTGGAGCCCACCCACCGCGGCCCTGCGCTCACCATTAGCCAGAAGGTAGAGGACCAGCTCCTCGTGCCCACACAGGCAAGCGTAGTACCTGAGGGAGGGAGGGCGGCGCGCTCGAGGCACAGGCAGGACCCCGGCCCGCAGCCCCCCCGCCCCCCCGCCCTGGCACTCACAAGGGGGTGCTGTCCCACTTGTCCCGCACATTCACTTCCACATCCCGCTGCTCCAGCAGGTACCTGAAGGGTGGGGTCAGAGCCTGTGTCACAGGGCTCACGCTCTGGGAGAGGAGAGGGGGGGGGCTCCCCCAGGGCATGACAGGGGCCCAGTAGGCCAGAGCGGAAAGGCGGTCCACACAGGCCAGTGCCCACCGGTGTGGGGGTCGGGCAGCGTGCTGCCGCCGAGTCTGACTGGCCTCAAGGCACTGGAAGAAAGAGGAGGTGGTGACGGGACACCTGCCCCTCCCAGAGCCCTCTGGCTCCTTGGGGTGCAGGGCTGGCTGGGGACAGTGGCGGCAGGAGACCAAGGAGAAGCTGCTGCCGGCATTCTAATAGTGTGGATGTGTCAAGAGAAGCCGTCAGATTCTAGAAGGTGGAAGTTACAAGATTCAGTCGCTGATGGGGTGTGGGAGGTCAGGAGGGCTCCGAGGATGCTCAGGGAGGCAGCAGGCTGAGGCGGGGCCTGGGAGCCGGCTGCGTGGATCCTGGGAGTGCTGAGCGGCTCTCGGCTCTGGGGGTAGCAACTGACTCCTAAGGGGCACCTGAGGCTGGGCAAGGCTCACGGGGTCGGGTGGGGCCAGGAGCAGAAGCCCTGGACCAGCCCCAGTGGTGGTGGGTGAGTGGGGCAGGAGCGGAGAATGGGTAAGGGCCAAGGAAGGAAGAGACCCCACATTCGCCCTCGGCTGGCCAGTGAGCTGGCCATTCCAGCGTCCGGTCTGCATCTAAGAGTGTCGGGATCCCCGGGGCTGGAGGACCACTGGATGCTGGGCAGGCCGAGTCCAGCGCGGCAGCGGTGAGTCGCCTGGCGCCCGCCGGCCCACTGCGCAGAGGCGCCCTCTTCTCTACCCCTCCCTGGGCTCCGCGTAGCAGCGGCCCTCTGCGACCCCGGCGGCAAAGCGCCACCCGTCCCCGCGCGCGGCTGGCGGAGGCCCCAGGGAGGCTCGTGTTCCGGCCGGGAGCCCGGTGGAGGGTGGTCTGCGCTGGGTCCGGCGCCCGCCGCCCGCCCGCCCCGCGTCACCCACTGCACGCTCGGAGCCACGGGCACTGCTGGGCGCCGCACCCCACCCCTGTCCGCACCCTCCCGGGGCTGCGGCGTCCTCACCGCACTCGGCCTACATCCCCTTTCCTGCAGCTGGCGAAGAGATCGCTGGTGTCCATGGTGCGGTCGGCTCGGACCCGAGTCGAACGACCTCAGGCGGCGGCGGAGCGCCCCGGCCGGATGTAAACACGCGCGGCCCCGCCCGCCCGCCCGCCCG